ATCTCCCCTTAATGGTTTTCTCAACTCATTATGAGGAGAAAAAAGTCAAGGAAATTACAATATACTATTGTGGAAATAATATAATGTTCGCACAGGTCAAAAGTGATTTGTTTTTTGTATAGAAAAGCAAAACATATTTATCACGAAAAGGTTATAATTAAAATATGAAAGAAAATACGAAAACTACTTCTGTTGCTTACTTTATAATGACAAGTAAAAACGTCGTTAAGTTCGTTCGGGCTGAACTTTTTTTGTTCTCTTCTGGCCCTTCAGCTCGTCTATATAGACTAACTGGCCCTTCAGCTCGTCTATATATAGACTAACTGGCCCTTCAGCTCGTCTATATATAGACTCACTGGCCCTTCAGCTCGTCTATATATAGACTCACTGGCCCTTCAGCTCGTCTATATATAGACTCACTGGCCCTTCAGCTCGTCTATATATAGACTCACTGGCCCTTCAGCTCGTCTATATATAGACTCACTGGCCCTTCAGCTCGTCTATATATAGACTCACTGGCCCTTCAGCTCGTCTATATATAGACTCACTGGCCCTTCAGCTCGTCTATATATAGACTCACTGGCCCTTCAGCTCGTCTATATATAGACTCACTGGCCTTTCAGCTCGTCTATATATAGACTCACTGGCCTTTCAGCTCGTCTATATATAGACTCACTGGCCTTTCAGCTCGTCTATATATAGACTCACTGGCCCTTCAGCTCGTCTATATAGACTCACTGGCCTTTCAGCTCGTCTATATATAGACTCACTGGCCCTTCAGCTCGTCTATATAGACTCACTGGCCTTTCAGCTCGTCTATATATAGACTCACTGGCCCTTCAGCTCGTCTATATAGACTCACTGGCCCTTCAGCTCGTCTATATAGACTCACTGGCCCTTCAGCTCGTCTATATAGACTCACTGGCCCTTTAGCTCGTCTATATAGACTCACTGGCCCTTCAGCTGGTCTATATAGACTCACTGGCCCTTCAGCTGGTCTATATAGACTCACTGGCCCTTCAGCTGGTCTATATAGACTCACTGGCCCTTCAGCTGGTCTATATAGACTCACTGGCCCTTCAACTATAACACCCTTTTCTAGATGCGATAACATCTAATTGCAACAGAAAAAAATTCTATAGAAAATCAATTCCTTTCTATATAAAAATTGTTTTTCTTTCGATAAAAATGTTTCTCCTGGCCTTCAACATAAAACCTTTTGCAAAAAAAAAATTGTTTGTAATTTGTTTATAAATTTAATCAATCAAAAGTGACACCGCTGGCAAATGTGATAACCTCTTGAATTTTGAATATGAAAAATAAGAAGAAGAGACGCCCGCAACGACACCCACAGAAAAAGTTCATTTCATGTCGCACTTTATTTCTATTAGAATAATTACGGGCTTTCTCTACGAAGGCAGCTTCAAAACTTTTTGCTACAGCAACAACAAAATATGAAAATAAAGAAAATATTCAAACTCAATTGAAACACACAACAACAACAAAAAAAGAGAAAACCTTGAAATCTTACAAAGAAGAATAGAAATGTTTTTGTTGTTGTGGACACGTGGGTGGGTGGTAGTCGGAACCGAACTGTAACGTACCAAGCAAGAAAATATCATCGTATCGTCGTCGGGGTATCGTTGAAGTGGAAAGAGTTAAATTGTTTGCTGTTGTTGTTAGATATTGCAAATATATACGTCGTTTGATGTCGCCATAGATCCGCTACGCAAAAAAAAAAACAAAATTATTACCAAACATAGTAGCCTTACAACAACATCAACGACTATGAAATAAGGTTAAGTAAAAAAAAACACCCGGGTGAAAATAAAAAGAAACAAACTGTAGTGTTCGGTAGCATACGGAACTTCGTTGCAAAAAATAGCAATAAACAAGATGTTGTTGTTGCTGTTTTTCCTAAGGGGGCAAACGATAAAAAATAACACGAGTCAGAAAAAAAACCATTTAATGTTTTTTTACTCGCCTGGTGCCGGGATGTGGCAATAGTTTGGAATATAATAAATGGTATGATGCTGGTGGTAATGAAGTTTTTGTTGTTGTTTGTTTTTGCCACTTTTTATCGAATAATGTAAAGTTTGTCGTTGTTGGCGTTGCTATTATTACATTTGGAAAGTAGTGTTGTTGCCTTAAATTCGGAAGAAAAGTGTTATAAACTATGCTGTAAGTGCAGTTGGCAGGTTCTTTTATTGTATTTTCCCTATGATGGCAAGTATAGGTGTCGTCAACTGAGGGTGGGTTTGGAAATTTTATATTTAACTAGCATATACCCGCTGCTTCGTTAGCGAATGTGGGATGTATTTAAAACCCTATATCGACCATTATTAAAGTTTTAGAACCATTTATTACGTATGTTTTGCCATAGTATGTTCCCAAATCTTCCTCTGTATCTCAACCCTATACTAAATATGGTGTAATTTTTACCATTTGTACTCTTGTAATACTTATTTTGAAAAAAAAAAAAAATCTAATATAGCTTCACCCAAATCCAAATTGAGTATCAGTTAGTGCACATTAATATAAATTTCCAAAACTTCCCACACACCCCAATCTTAATTCCAAATTTCAGGATTCTAACGGTTCAACTAAATCCAATTTGTATCACATTTAGTACCACTTAGAACACATAAGTAAAAATTTCCGTTATTACCTGCATCATGCAATCCAATTGAAATCATGATTATATAAAATCTTAATTATAATCCAAATAATATCAAATTTAGTACACAGTAGTACGAATTTGCAAAACTTCCTACTTAACCCAAACATACACTCCCCCAGTTATCCTAAATCCAAGTTTCAGGATTCCAACTCTATTGGTTCACCCACAATTCAAATTGTATCAAATTTAGTACATAGCAGTACCAATTTCATCCTAAATCCAAGAGTAAGGATTCCAACTTTATCGGTTGACCCACAGTTAAAAGTTTACCAAATTTAATACACACCCCCACACTAATCCTAAAACCAAGTTTCAGGATTCCACCTCTATCGGTTCACCCACAATTCAAATTGTACTAAATTTAGTACATAGTTGTACCAATTTCCAAAATTTTCTACATACCCTAATTCTACACCTCCACAGTGATCCTAAATCAAAATTTCAGGATTCCAACTCTATCGGTTCAACCACAATTCAAATTGTACCAAATTTAGTACACAGTAGTACCAATTTCCAAAACATCCTACATACCCCAACCCTACACCCCCACAGTGATCCTAAATCAAAATTTCATGATTTCAACTTTATCGGTTCACCCACAATTTAATTTGTACCAAATTTAGTACACATTAATACAAATTTCTAAAAATTCCTACATATTTTAATCTTACACATCAACAGTGATCCTGACTCCAATTTTCATGATTCCAGCTCTATTGGTTCACCTAAAATTAAAATTGTACCAAATTTAGTACCATTTAGTACCCATAAGTATTATTTTCTTAAACTGAATCCTGGCCCTAATCCTACATTCCTACAATGATCCTAAGTCCAAACTTCATTGTTCCACCCAAATCCAAATTGTACCAATTATAGTACGATTTAGTACTTTTTGAACACATAAGTAAAAAATTTCCAAAACTACGTACATATCCCAATCCTACACTCCGACGGTAATGTTAATTTTCAGGATTCCAGCTCTATTTGTACCTCCAAATCAAATTTGTACCAAATATAGTACCATATAGTACTTTTCGTACACATGGGTACACGCTTTCCAAACTCTCCTCATTCAAATTTCAAGCTTTTAGCTCCCTCCATTCACATGCTACGAAATTGTACCAAATTTAGTACATTTTCGTACTTTTCGGATAGTTATAGTTCGAATTTCCAAAAACCCTTTAGTACATCTATCCTACACTCAATCAACGACCACCAACCCAAATTTCAGAGTTCTAGCTCCACCGGTTCGTCAAATACAAATGGTATCACATTAATACTTGTTAGTACTTTCCGTACCGTTCTAGTACGAATTTCCAAAAACCCAGCCTTATCTGTCCCATTTGGACCAAGAGTGGCCCTCACCCAAAATTTCAAGATTCTAGCTTCAGCCGTTTCGTATGTGCGTTGATGAATCGTTAAATCAGTAATCGTTACTCTTTTATTAGTATAGATTAGTACCTTTTAGTACTTTTCGTACCGTTATAGTACGAATTCCCAAAAACCCAGCCTTATCTGTCACATTTTGACCAAGAGTGACCCTCACCCAAAATTTCAAGATTCTAGCATCAGCCGTTTCGTCTGGGCGTTGATGAATCGTTAAATCAGTCAGTCAATCACTTTACTCTTTTATTAGTATAGATAAATTGCTGGGTGATCAATAATAACATTATAACAAATAATTCAGTTCGTCCGGACCTTACTTTTATACCATGCATAGAGAACTATCAAAATACATATAAAAGGGTTATTGGGGGATATTTTCTGAGGGACTATCCACAGGCGTGGATTTATTTAAAATATTTTCTGTCAATTGGTTTATCTGAGGGGGACTATCCACTGGCTTGGATTTATTTCAAATATTTTCTGAGGGACTATCCACGGGCTTGTATTTATTAATAATATTTTCACAGGTTTATTTCTACCGCATAATGTCCGTTAAAAGATAAACCAATTGACAAAATGTTCAAAAAATTCCATTTATAGGAATAACTTTAAAAACTTTAGAGACGATGACAACCTTGTCGGGACGTTGCGACTTGAATCTTGACTCCCTACGAACCAACGAAAATTTGAACCCAAGGTGATAAAGAGTTAATATCTTCTTGACGCAATTACCAGCCCCATTTTCGATATTACCCAACATTTTTTGTTGGATGCAGTGCAGTGGTGTCACTGTCGTAGTTGTTGTTGCTGTTTTGTTTTTTAATTAAATTCTGTAAAAATTCTAATGAAACCTATGATGATGGAGCGAGCAGATGGAAGACTGCACCTACTGTCATAGAAAAAATTGTTCTGTTCGAAACATTTCTAATTAAATATTTTCAATTTTTTTTCTACTTTCAGCCGAGTCACTTTGCCATTGACTGTTGATGAGGTATGTATTGGTAACACATTAGAAGGAGAAGAAAAAAAAACACACACACTCACATACTTGTACAATATGGAAAAACAATCAATGTCGTACTACCCGTCCTATCTTTCGATAAACACCCATCACTCTTGGACACATCGAATACCAATAAACACCCATCCGCTGTTGTATTGGATTGAAATCACAACAATTACAACGAAACTCAAACAGAAAAAAAAACACAATTAAACGTGCTCCAAACCCACAGAAAGACGAGTGATGAACAATCAGATAACCCAACAACATGACGACGACGATGATGATGCGACAGACAGACAGATAGATTCACTGACTGCAACGGATGCGGATACAATTGCGACAACAAAATGACATTAACCGACATTACACTTTTTTTGTGTCAGCCGTGTGTGTACGATAACAACAACAAGTGCTCGCTCGGCTACTCTACCCCACACAAACACACACACACACTTACCCCACACAAACACACTCTGATTTTGGCTATAAAGTAGGCCATTAACTAGTCAAGGCATGTATGATGTGGCACCGACCGACCGACAGGCATGATTACAAACGAGCCCCTCTAGAGGTGTGGCTACGTGTTGTATGGTTTGGTTTGGCTACAAGCATGCAAAACCAATTGATGCTCCACATTAAAACCAACTTGTAATCATCACCACTCTTGAAGTGTATAGGTAGGCAGGTAGACCTTCCTACCAACCATTCCGTCCCGACAAGGTTGTCATCGTCTCTAAAGTATTTTAAATTATTCATACCCAATGGGATTTTTAACACATTTGCCAATTGATTTATCTTTAATGGAGATTATGCGGTAGAAGTGAACAAATCCCTCGAATATTTAGAATTCTGAAGCTATTGTCTTGAGACACAGAGAGTTGTCTTTAAGCCGTTCGATACGAAATTCATCCAATCACAAGCATTGTAGTTGTTATACCATGAGGTGGAGTGGGGTATTAAATTTGTCATTATGCTTGGAACACCCCGAAATATTTGTAGGACATCCCATTTAGTATATAATCGTGAATTTTTGATCAGAAAAGAATTCTATGTCATTTTATCCATGTCCGTACGCTTGTCTATCTGAAAACATATTTATATGAATGCTATTGCGACGTGTTTTATAGGCCTGTTGACTTAAATACTCACGTTGGTGTCTTTCGATTCCTCTATCTAAAAAATGAAGATGGTACTAAAAAATGAAAATGAAGATGGTAGATTATCTAAATACAGTTTTGAATGAATGCTAATTCCTAATAGACTTGTCGAGAGGTCTGGATTTTCACGTTGGACATCTATATCTGTTTCTATATTATTAAGGTATATTTTGACATGTTTAGATGGACAAAGCCTTTAAGACATTAAATCTCTCCTTGATTCATGAATATCTCTCCGGTCGTATCACACGGCATTGGTGTTACCGACGATACAAATTGAAAGAACATTCAGACCTGCCAGTATGCGGTCTGTCTCTTCATAGGTCATGACAACAGTGGACCATCTTCATGTGAGGCAATGTTGTCGATGTTGTTGTCAATTGACATAACTTTGAGGACAGACTTTCCCTCACCAAGACACAACCATGCAGATATTCGGGGTCTAGATAAAGAAAGAGGGCCATGGGTATAATAACGTGAACCTCTGGACAGAAGCCCTATCAGTCATATCTGAATAGCATTCACACAGATGCAGTCGGTCGCCCAGATAGTTGATGCAAAGACCATCCATCATCAATAGCAGCAGAGTAGTAACATAAGGCCAAAAACAATTTGAAAAAAAAAACATTCAGTCCTGTCAGAATACCACTCTGATAACAGCAAGAGGTCATCTGTTTCCTCATAAAACCATATGTACCGTCTTCAAGAAAAAAACGAAGATCATAACTCCGTCCATCGACACAACCAAATGTTGACGATGCAGTAACTTAATGGATCGGGAACACCCCTGCCATAACCTTAATGACAGGCTTTCTAACCCTATCAAGACAATTAAGGAAATTTGTTGATGATCTAGACAGAGAGAGAATTCCAAAGATATCACAAGATTAACCTCTAGACAGGAGGCCTCTCATGATTGTCTGAATAGCATTCATATTGACGCAGTCGGTTTCCCATATCTTATGAATATTATACTCGAAAACCATCTATCATCCGTAGCAGCAAATGAGTGTCAAATGACCACCAACACATGGATGTTGTTACCGAAGATAAATAGTTCGGAAAGAGGAGACCTGTCTCCTCATGACAAGATCTGGACAATCTTCACGTAGAAGCGAAGATCATAACTCCGTCCATCGACACAGTTAAATTTGACGACGCAGTAACTTCTTGGGTGCCATTTTCGGGAACACCCATACCATAGAGTTTAGGACTGCATTTAGGATTGTCAGGAGAAATCTTCATGATCTAGAGAGAGAAGAGAGCGTTTAATGTATCGCAATATGAACATTTTGATCTACAGGAGGTCTCTCAGGCAGGTTCGTATTCATACTGATGTAGTCGGTTGCCAAAGCAGTAGAACAATATCACCGTATAAATTATTGTACTGGAGTCATCCATCATGCGCAACAGCAGAGGAGTGTCATAAGGCCAACAACACATGGATATTGTTCCCGACGATAAACAGTTGGAAAAATATTCAGACACCGCCCAGAGAACTGCCAGAGGCAGCCTGTCTCCCCATGACACCATCTACATGAGGAGACGATGGTAATACCTGCCGTATCCTTATGGACAGAAGGAGACATCTTCACGATATAGATAGAGAAAAAGGTCCAAAGGTACAAAAGCGTGAAACTCTATATCCACAGTCTTCTCTGAATATCATTCATACAGATTCAGTCGCACAGGTAGTAGAACAATATCATCGTATGAATGCTATACTAAGTAGTCTCAGCGCGGCTAAGATTGTGATGGTGCAATCAACGCAATTTCTAATGGGCACGAATTAACGGCTCAATACGCTACACATGCCCACCCAGCATATGGACTAGGATCACATGTTGCACCTATTAAACTCCGACAATTTTTAGTATTTTGATATTTCAGTTCAAGTTTTATTCAAGTTTTCCAACCGAATTAGCCTTCATTTGGTACTTCAGATTCTCATTTTGTAGAAAAGTTTCTTACTTATCAATATTGGACCAAGATTCGGACTGGCCTCCATAAAACGAAACCTTTCTAATTTTGTTATTTTGGGCACTTTTTCAATCGGGTTCTCATTGGGTAGCAAATCTTCCTACCAAATTGGCTTTCATTTGGTATTTAGAATTCACATTAGGAAAAATTATCAATATTGGAACAAGTTTCAGGGTCGCCCCCATAAACGGCCTTATAAATATTCGGGCTTTTTGTATCGATTTTCAGACAAATTAGCTTCAATTTTGGACACGTTTTTCAATCGAAATGGCTGTCTTTTTTTAATATTTTGTATTATTATCATTGGATAGATTCCCTCCCTACCTAGTCCGTTTTTAGGCAAGTCCCCATACAAAGAAGGCACCTCCGTATTTTGCGGATTTGGTATATCGGGTTCTCATTGGGCGGAGAATCTTCCTAAAAAAGTTTATAAAATTTAGACCACTTTTTAAGTTTGCCCACCATATAACGGCACCTCAAAAATTTCGTTATTTTGGTCAAGTTTTCCAATCGAATTAGTTTTAATTTTGTAATTTAGATTCCCATTGTGTGGAAAATCTCGTTACTAAAAATTATCAATATTAGACCAAGATTCGAGCTGGCCTCCATATAACATAATCTGTCTAATTTCGTTATTTTGGGGATTTGGTCATGTTTTATACCGAAATGTATAATTTGGTATTTCGGGTCCTATTTGGGTAGGTAATCTTCTTACAAAAAGTAAACAATATTTGGTCCACTCTTTAATCTTCCTACCAAAAATTACCCAACATTGGCTCAAGATTTGTTATGGCCCCCCATATAACACTTTCAGACCCAGATCAATTGTGAGATCTGAAAATTTTTAAGAGAAGCTAGTATAAACATGTGTATGGGTCTCTTAATTATTATTTTTTTTGGTTTAGTATTCCTTTGTTATGCCTCTAGAATATAGAAAATAAAATTAAAATGGGAATAAATAATGGTCCACATTTAGATATAGACCGAATATAAGGGTATCCACAATTTTTGGTATTTTGGACACGTTTTTCAGCCGAATTGCACCTTTGGTTAGCAAATATTCATAGCAAAAAATGATCAATATTGACCAATGTTTCGGGGTATCTCCCATATAATGGTAACCCGAATTTTTGTTATTTTGAGGATTGCAGACATGTTTTTCATCCGAATTGGCTCTAATTTGATATTTGAAGTTCTTATTGTGTGTCAAAAATTTTAACTATCTTTTAATAATTGGGTATAGTCCACAAATTTTAAGTCTAGCCTCTTTTAATAGGGTTTAATGACTCTAGGCGTCATTGTGATGTGTCTATAATTTACAATTCGGGGAACTTGGCGGATCAATATTTTATTCACAAATCATTTTCAATGTAAGCCCATGTACATATCCCCATACATACAAAGATCACACGTCTTTTTCGGTATGTTTAAGGTCACAGACCAAATTTCCTTCCCGAATGTCTGTAACTTGATATTTCCTTGTATTGTGGCAGATATTTAACATGTCAAAGTTCTCTGTATAAAAGCCCACATCGATTTTAGGTATTTTGAATATCTAACTCCTAGTGGAGGGCGGACCGAACTTTTTACACCCCATACGAATTGGGCTATTTGGCTATTACAAATATTAGTTAAAAAAACTATTATTTCTATGAAACCTCCTTTTCGGACCGTTAATCTCTTCAAACAAATATTATCTTTCAAATTTTTCCATGAGAAACAATTGATTGGTAATACCTAGCTGCCTTCCAATCTCTTTCCTTTATTTGGTAATCATTTTTTACGTCCTACTGTCAACAATGATGACATTTGGTGCAAAGTGTAAACACATTTCGTCCTTTCGAAGGCATACATTTTTCAAAACCCACGTCGTTAATATGTTACACGTGCTACATTCTCTATCCGGCCTACACATTTCATTGCCCCCTTAACATAACGATATACCGAACATTGATTGTGCGTGTCCAGATTGTGGTTTGAAATCATTCAGTCAACTTGGATTGGAAAATGTTTAAAATGTGTGTGTGTGGAGTGTGTGGGAAAAGTGATAGACTAGTTAAGCCCACACACACACACACACACACACCAATAATACTGCCTTACTTAGAAAATGAATTTGTAAAATGGCAAGTGAGTTCGACGTAGGGGTCCTTTAAAATATCCACTGACTTTTCCCGTGATCGACCAACCCGTCCTCTCCCACACTTACAAGTTGTTGTCATGCAATTGAAAGTGCTTTAATTGATTTCGTTTTGTTCCTTTGTGTATACGAGTGTGTGTGTGTTGTTGTTTTCTTTCTTATCGCATTCACAACTAAACAAATGAAAATGTCCAAGTTTAATTGATTTTCTTCTTGTTGTTGTGTTTATTGTCGTGTCCATTTCTTTCTTAAACAATATTTAATTACTTTTTCTTTCATTCTCTTCTCTAACCCTACATAACCTCAATCATGTGGCCATATGATGATGATGATGATGTATCACAATAGTATCAAGTTGCACAACTGTATTCCGTGGCGGAGGCATCGAAAAATGAAACGGGCGGTGGTGAAGGTATTGAAGTATTAAAAAATGAACCCTTTACCGATCATCCATTGTTGGGTAAGTTTTGTTAAATGTAAGGAAACTTTTTCCTTTTTATTAATCAAATGTTTTTTATATATTTTAAAGGTGGCAAATATAGTTCCGGTCAGTATACATATAAAATTTATCATTTGGCTTCAAAAGTCCCAGCATTTATAAGAATATTGGCACCCAAAGGATCTCTGGAGATTCATGAAGAGGCATGGAATGCCTATCCATATTGTAAAACAGTCATTACGGTAGGTTGTCGTGAGAAATTCGAGTACCTCAACGAATTCATTAATTGTAATCAAATGCAGAGAATTTTGTTTTTCCCAAACGGAAGGATTTCAGAACAGAAAAGTATCATTTCGCAATTGGTGGTGTAGTAGATGTGAAAAGAATGTTCTCTATTGAAAAATCGTTCGATAACAATGTGTTCTATTAAGCATATCATCGATAATAATTATTTGGTTAGAATCAAGATCTATTAATAAGGTCACCAAGATAGCAATCGAAATCGGAAAACAGCTGTTTTTTCTCAAGTCTAATGTCAAAAATTTCGACTTTGTTTACGTTTTCATAATGGAAGTCAATTCACAATAACGCATTTTGACAGCAAACTTGAGAGGTATCGATAATCAGCTGGTCTCCCTTGGTGACCTTATTTATAGGCCATTAATAAGGTCACCAAAATAGCAATCGAAATCGGAAAACAGCTGTTTTTTCTCAAGTCTAATGTCAAAATTTTCGACTTTGTTTACGTTTTCATAATGGAAGTCAATTCACAATAATGTATTTTGACAGAAAACTTGAGAGGTATCGCTTATCAGCTGGTCTCCCTTGGTGACCTTATTTATAGGCCATGCTTAGAATAATGTACCGATAGAAAATATTTCTGTAAACATTTGATCGATAAATTTGATTTCTATAAAAAATTATTCAACTGCAAGTTTTTTTCTTTAGAAAATTTTTGTCGATAGCATTTGTTAAAAAAACTTAATAGAAAACATTTTCTATATAAAAATTGATCAATATATCTATTGCAAATGTTTTTATAAAAAAATATCGATAACAAGCTTTTCTATAGAGTGGTTGAATGATAAAAATATTTTCTACACAAAAAATGGCAAAAACATAACTTTATTCTTTTATAGATAACAAGTTTTCTATAAAAAATTATTGATTAGATGATTTTCTACAGAAAATTGATAATTTTTTTCTTTTTTTGTTTTTGCAAAATAGTCAGGCTGAATCCAAGTTTGTTGTTTTTATAAAAAACAACTATTTATTAGTGGGGAATGTATGGCATTGTTTGCCAAGGGGTAAGGCAGGAAAGACTATAGTTTCGGATCACGCCACTGATCCTCATCAGTTCCCTTAGTTTTTTGTTGGGATATTCTCCCCAGAAGCTATTGCTTCTATACAAAAAACCTTTCATACCCAAATGTCTCATGTAACAAAGCGAAGTACTTAGCTGACCAACGACATAAACTGCATGAGAATTTCGCTGGTGCCTCACTTCGAGGTTAACAAGGCATTTACAAACAATTCCATACCTTTCCCACTGTTGTGTGTTGTCACATCGCGACAAATGCACACAACAACTTTGTTGGTGTTGCTAGTAACAGCAACAAACCAAACAGTTTAACCGTGCCTGCATCTACAACTTCAGTAGTGTTGGCGGTTTATTTGGGATACCATTTGTATTTTGTTTTTGCAAAATATTCAGGCTGAATCCCAGTTTGTTGTTTTCGTTATTTTAAAATACGGAACTCTTACCATCTACCACACCACCTAACCTCACATTCATAAAATGTGTATCTCCTGGATTTAAACAAATTTATTTCATCAATACCCGCAGTATAAAAAAAAATTATAAACCATTTTCCTCCCCTCCTCTAATTTATATTTATTATTTTATAGAATCCTAAGTTTATGAAAGATGGCTTTAAAGTTATTATAGATTCTCTGCATTTACCCGATACAGGAGATTCTGAAAATGTAAGTTGCGCCAGAATACTAAATGTAATTAATGGTGTGTTTTTTTTCTCTCTTTTTCTTCTTTTTTCTTGTATTCTTTTTTGTATTAATTCGCATAACTGTGTTATTAACTAAATGTCTGGTTATAATACAAAAACAACAACAATAATAATGCTTAACATACATCACGACAAATCGAAACAAAAAACAAATCATTAATAATAAACATGGTGTTGGATTACTATTAAATATTTTCTATGTGTCTGTGTGAAAAAAATATAATTTTTAATAATAATTTTTTAAAACAACATATGCAATTAATTACTCATCTCTATGTATTTTTGTATAATTAAACTGCTTATTAATTTATTAATCGTTTAATTGAAAAAAAAAAAACAAACAAAAACTTGATTTACTATTCGTGGTCTCGTATTTTGTTGGTGTATAATTTAATTTTGTTTCCTTTTTTGTTTGATATATAAAATTTAAATTAAACATTTTATATAACCAGAATCCTGGTTATATGAAAGATAATTTTATCATAATCATTGAATCTCATCACATTGCTGATATAGGCGACCAGGAAAATGTGAGTCATTTTCTATAACATGTTAATTACTAACCACCCTACTGCATATATATAGTAGAGACACAAAGCAATAGGAAGAGTTATTGTGAGTCAGATGTGGGAAAGATTAATTTTTTTTCTAGGTGGCTAAATGAGTATATATTTAAACAAACTATGTGTACTTCTATTATATCATTCTGATAGTTTTCTTTCAGAATGATCTCTATGCAGACCAATTGGTCTATACATAGACCTGTGGTCTCTATACAGACCAATTGGTCTTTATATAGACCTGTGGTCTCTATACAGACCAATTGGTCTTTATATAGACCTGTGGTCTCCATACAGACCAATTGGTCTTTATATAGACCTGTGGTCTCTATAGACCAATTGGTCTTTATATAGACCTGTGGTCTCCATACAGACCAATTGGTCTTTATATAGACCTGTGGTCTCCATACAGACCAATTGGTCTTTATATAGACCTGTGGTCTCCATACAGACCAATTGGTCTTTATATAGACCTGTGGTCTCCATACAGACCAATTGGTCTTTATATAGACCTGTGGTCTCCATACAGACCAATTGGTCTTTATATAGACCTGTGGTCTCCATACAGACCAATTGGTCTTTATATAGACCTGTGGTCTCCATACAGACCAATTGGTCTTTATATAGACCTGTGGTCTCTATACAGACCAATTGGTCTTTATATAGACCTGTGGTCTCTATACAGACCAATTGGTCTTTATATAGACCTGTGGTCTCTATACAGACCAATTGGTCTTTATATAGACCGGTGGTCGTCTCTATACAGACCAATTGGTCTTTATATAGACCTGTGGTCGCTTTATATATACCTTTGGCCTCTATACAGACAATTGGTCTTTATATAGACCTGTGGTCTCTATGCAAACCAACAAACATCGGGTGTAGATTATATTCAATTTAAAATTTCCCCAAAATCTGTATACCGCAGTTCCTCTTTTGTGTCTCTACGCCCCATAGCTTCCCATTGATTTTCGTTTATATGTAATTGTATCGTAGTAAAAATTTTTAACTAACATTTGAATTAATTTTTCTGTTTTATTTTCTAATAAAAATAATTGGTAGTATCCTTTGGCTTTATCTTTTTACCCTAAGGCATATTTTTTTTTTCTTTTGATCAAAAAACTAATCACAATTATTTTTATTCTCTTCGAAACCAAAAAAAAAAAAAAAAATGCCAACAACAGGTACACCAACTGCCCCCCGAAAAACTAAAACAACGTGAAGTTGTTCATATTGATATTGCCAATGATCCCGTTACGCCTGCGGATTATAAACCTGATGAGGACCCAACAAAGTATGTGAATGAGAATTTTGTGGTTTTCAAAAGAAATATATAATGTTGTTGTTTTTTTTTCAGGTTCAAATCAGAGAAAACCGGTCGTGGTCCATTGGTCGGTGCCGATTGGAAGAAAAAAGTCGATCCAGTTATGACATGCTACAAATTGGTAACTTGTGAATTCAAATGGTTCGGTCTACAATCGAGAATAGAAAATTTCATTCAAAAATCGGAACGACGATTATTTACAAACTTCCATCGGTGGGTATTTTTTTTATAATTTTTTTTAATGAAAATGTAAAAACTGACATTCATATATTCTAAAAGTGGATACACTTATTGTAAAATCAAACAGAACATTGTGGGTAATTTGTGGACCAAACATAATGTAGATCCTACATTCAGGAAAAACTTTTGGCTGCTGATGATATTATTTTCGGGACATTCGCGATTTTGAGAATTTTTTAACTGAATTTGTCTGTTAATGGGTATTTTGGATTCCTATTGGGTAGCAAATATCTCCCTAGTTATCAATTTTAATCCACTTTTTCGGGTAGCCCCCATATAATGGTACCCCTGAATTTGGGTATTTTCGATAGTTAGGGTATATATTTTATGTTGTTTTTGGCTATGATATCGGGTAGCAACCCATATAAAGGTAACCCCTTATATGAGGGGCTACTCGAAAATGTGTACCAATATTGACCATTTTTGGTATTTTTGTGGGGTTTGGCTATGATTTTCAACCGAATTGACCTATTTATTTATTTTATTTATTATTGACCCTATATATTATGAGTTCTCATTGGGCTTAAAACCTTTTTACCAAAAATGATCGATATCGGTCCACGATTAGAAATAGCCCCCATATGATAGTACCCACAATTTTTTATATTTTTGGGAGTTATTAGCAACGTCTTTGTACCAAATTTATTCTAGTTTTAATTTCTGGGTTCTCACTGAATGCCAAATGTTCGTACCAAAATTATCAATATCGTTTGGTAATAGCCCCCCATATAACTATAACCTCACTTTTGGTAATAACGACGAAAACCCCCCAAATTTCAGTATTCATTCAGGTTTTTCGACAACGTTTTCTAATCGAATTAGCTGTAATTTGGTATTTTGGATTCTCATTGGGTGTCAAGTCACCCTAACAAAAAGTATCTATTACCCGGTCCTCGTTTGGTAATAGCCCCATATAACGGTACCCCTTAAAAAGTCCGAATTTTGAGGAATTTTTTTTTTTGAGGGTGTCAAGTCACCCTCATAAAAAGTATCAATTACCCGGTCCTCGTTTGGTAATAGCCCCATATAACGGTACCCCTTAAAATGTCGGAATTTTGAGGAATTTCAGCACAATTTTCAAACAAATTGGCTGTATTTTGGTATTTTGGATTCTTATTGTCTACAAAATTTTCCTACTAAAAATTAGCGATCATGATTCACTTTTTTGGGTAGTTCCAATTTAGCGGTACTCAAAATTATACGTATTTTGAGGAGTTTGGGTAAGTTTTTCAACCGAATTAGCTGTAATTTAGTATTTTGGATTCGTATTGGGTGCCGAATCTTCTTACCCTTCTTGCCCCCATATAACAATATCCCAAATAAAAGTATTTTTGGGTTTTTGGCCACTTTGTTTCAACCGAATAGACTGTATTTTGATATTCTTGGTTCAGATTGGCTACTAAATCTTCCTACCAAAAATTATCATTTTTAGTCCACGTTTGGTACCACCACTTTTTTCAAATACAAATTTAGACCCCAAACCCTTTAAGAAATTTTTATTTCATCATTATCGAAGTGACCGTAATTTTGCATTCCAGATCTTGGTGGGTACGAAAATTGTTCACAGAAGATTTTCAATGTATCTCCATATTTCGAAATTACCCCCAATAAAAGGGTCATGCGTAATTTTCGGTATGGTTGAGTAGCCTAATTTTCCAACACCAGTTTTTTTATTTCATTTTCTTCTGGCAGCAATTTTCCAAAGCTTGACTGATTTTAGGTATTTTTATTTATTTATGGTATTTTGAATGTCCAACTCAGGGTGGAGAATATAAAAAGTTCGGTTTGTCCGAATTTAACGACAATATTTTTATTTGTTATTATTTATATATTCTAATACTCTTTCTCTCTTTTTTCCCTTTACAGTCAAGTATTCTGTTGGATGGATCGCTGGCACGGTCTAACAATGGAAGATATTCGTGCTATTGAAGATAAGGTCAAGGAGGAACTCGATAAACAACGTCAAGAGGGTGAAGTGCGTGGCACCAAGGCCGATAGTGATTAGGAACAATATTAATAAATGTCGTCAAAATAAATAAAAAGAAACAAAACAAAAAACTATATAAATATATAACAAAAAATTAACAACAACAGCAACAACACATTTAAAAGTAAAAAATAAAAAATAAAGTATGCTACAAAAGTGAAACAAATTGTAAAAGAAAACAAAAATATAAAAATGCTGCATTAAAAGTCAAATAACAACAAACAATAGCAATAATATAAAATTAAAACATTTTACAAAATAAAAACATAAAAACGAAATATTGTTTATTTTTTTTTTAAATATGGCACCACCAAAAACAAATGAAATCAAAGTAATTCAATCAACACCAATAACAACAACAAATCCACTATTATTATTATTACTACAGACACGAAAAATAAAACAAACAACAATCAGCATCAACAGCAGCCAAGCTATATAGGACCTTATTTTTCTTCAGCGATCACAAAAAAATGTGGACACATACACACATACTGCTATATAAATATATTCCTATTTACTCTACTCAACACCAGGCAGATGAAACAATCATAGCAATTATTTAATGTTCGTTCTCTTCTCTTATTTGTAGTTTCTTCCATTTAGTGAAAAAGAAAACTATGAAAAGCATTCACAATAAAACAATTATGATAATGCAATGGCTCTCTTATACTTTTTTGTAATTTAGTTTTTCTTTTTATTAATTGTTGTCTGTATGTTTTTTTCTCAAATTATTTTTTATATACATTTTTTACATTGTTTTTCTTTTCCTTTTCTTTTGTAAATGTTCAAAGTCAGGTTTATATTTTGTAATATTAATTGTGTAAACATCATCAACAACAGCGATTAATTTTTTATATATACATAAAATATAGAAAAGAAAAATTATTTATAATAACACACAGATATAGATACATTTATATATTTAAACACCAATGTTGAAACAAAAGAAAACAAACAAACAAATAGCAATAGTTTAAGTTAATAAATACTTAACAATACAACAACAAAAAATATAACATACTTCTTATACAGATATATATAAAAATATATTTACAAAATTAAATCATCCCGATCCAGTAAAAAAAATTATATATATAGAGCAAAAGTAAACAAAGAAACACCCCCAACATGTGTTAAACCGAATTATTTTTATTGGGAAGAAAGAACCACAAAAAAAGAGAACCTCTCCTTAAAAGAAATGCAAAAAACACATATTCATCTCTAATATAAAAAAAATATGGAAATTAAGAAATGTGAATTTTATTTTGAAATTATTGGGAATGTAAATTTCCATACCATTCTTATTCACATTTCCCAAATTCCAAAATTTCTATATTAGAAGTGATTACACACCTCCAATGAAAACAAAAACTAAAATACTATTTCACGTTGTAAACATAGTGATGGGTACTAAATTATTATTATATTCTAATTAATAATAATATTATTATTAAATAATTATAATTCTAAACGTTTATTTTTTGTGTGTGGAAAAGAATAAAGATTTAGTTAAACAAATATACAATATTTTGATTCATATTAATTTTATTTTGGTTATTTTCTAAAGTAATTATTTTTTTGTTAATTATTTAGAAAAAGTTTGAAATTAAAGAAGACTTGGTTGACAAACACTGAAAGTCCAATTCATGATAGATATATATGGTAGCCGCATCGGCGAAAGTTGAAATAGTGAGTTTTTCAAAATAGTTAACAATGCGAAGTTTTATATAATTGATTCGCCATGCTAAGTACATTTTGCTTATAACTTAGGTTTGGTTGGCCGATGGTTACCAAATTTCAGAGAATATAAATTAAGGACAGAGAATATAAATTAAGGACCGTAGTATCTAAAAACGTAAAGAACTTTAAAACGTGCTAAGTCGCCTTAGCATACTATGGTTTTATCCGTCGATATGTGGTATTGTCGGCGAATTTGAATTATATGTCAAAATAGTTAACAATGCAAATAATAATTGATTCGCCGTAACATATCAAATTTAAAGCGAATTTCTAAATATTTCCAATTTCTATTTGGAAATATATTTTCTTTTCACGGCAAATTTAAAAAAAAATTTTGCGACATTTTTTGTTACCATCACCTGATATGATATGGCTACCTTCTTTATATACCTTTGTCCAATTTTTTGTGATACAAATTTTGTTGTCGTTCTAAATATTAGCAAGCACAGCTGCTTGTTGTAATTTGTTTCATCCATCAGAGGAATATGAAAATATCTGGCAATAAATCAAAAGCCACACTGTTCACTGCTCGGACGGTTGAAATCAATCTCCTACTGAACACACTGTTCGAATGTAACGTTCGACAGCCTTTTCAAGCCGCTGCTATTTGCGATCATATTAGAAGTCGCTGGATGCCAGCACTTGGGACCCTGACAAAGAGAGTAGTAACAGTCGTGTCAGTGGTAAGCTATGGGGCTCAATTTTGGGTTTGCGAAATCCCCTCCGGTAGCCTTATGGACAGATTTTTCCCATCCAGGCACATCAGCAAGATTTTAAAAATCTATAGGGAGACGAGTCCATAGATACAAGGCCAAACCTCTAGATACATGCTGTTTAGACATAAGACATTTCATATGGAGAATTTTCAGTTACTCTCACACAATTATTTTGAGCATCCCCGCTCTAAATCAACGATCAAACACGAGATGCAACATAAGATGTGATAAAAAAAGTTCCACCCATCATAACAATTTCAGGTTTGGTCTATCTATTTAGTGGGCAAACGTCCAAATTTAGTGGGCAAACGTCCAAATTAGCATAGGAAAGCCGAAGAGCCTCAATGCAGACCACAAAATTAAGGCATTGGAGATTATGTTTTATATGTTGATCTAATAGATAACGATATCCAGTGGGTCGTTACAAACCATAATAGTCGGCACAAATACCCGAAACAAGAGGAGTTACGATATGTGAAAGTTATACAGACTCTGATACCGTCTTATACCGTATGCAGACTCTGATACCGGTACACAAGCTGAAATTTCCTCTGGAAAAGGGTTTTTGTTACACATCTCTCGGTTAGCAGGAAGGACGGAAATGGAATTTTGTATAGCCTCAGCTTTATGACTAAGTGTAGGAAAGTGTATATTCCCTACACATTCCTTCGGCAAAAATTTGCCTCATCGGTTTTTTTTGTGATTTTCGGACATATTTTTCAACCGCATTGGCTCTAATGTGATATTTTGAGTTTTAGTTGGGTAGCAAATCTTCATACCAAAAATTTTAAGTGTTTGGGCGATCTTTGGGTTAAACTATGGTGGCTAATCTTTTATAGATATCTTCAAGATACAAAGCGCATTTTATACCCTTCACCACATTGGTATTATGTCTTTTTGCATATGTTTGTAACAGGCAAAAGGAATCGAGATAGACCCATAGTACCTTTTGATAATATGCATAGAATCACTTTCTGAGTCGATTTATGCATGTCCATTCGTCCGAATGTCTGACCCTATTAAATTGTAAACAAAGTTCAGGTCGCATTCATGATCCGATTTGGATGAAGTTTGGCATATGTCACTTATTTGGCCCAAGGACGAACCCTATTGAAATTGGAGAAAATCCTTTCAAATTTAAATATAGCTCCCATATATTGTTTCGTCCGATCCTATACAAATGGTGTACCAAACTTCCAATATTAGTCCGATTGAGGCAAAATTTTGGACAGAGTATTGAATTGGGTCTAGATTGATATATGCAAAGATTTGTTGAAATCGATTCAGATTTACATATACTCTCATATATAGTTTCGTCCGATTTAATGTAAATGGTGCACCAAACTCCCTATATTGGTCCGATTGAGACAAAATTTAGCACAGAGTACTGACTTAGGTCCAAATTGATGTGTGTCGAAGTTCTGTTGGTATCGGTTCAGATTAAAATATAGCTCCCATATATGGTTTTGTCCGATTTTATGCAAATGGAAGAACCTAAGTCTGTTCGCTTTACATGAAATATTGCATAGCGTATTGGATTGAAGACGTTTCAGGTTAAGATATAGCTTCAATATATATGTTCATCCGATCTCATCAAAATGATGAATCAAGTACCTAAAGTTTGTCCACTTAGGACGAATTAGTGCACAATGTACCACATCGAACCCAGAATAACGTGTATTGGATTTTGTACCGAGATAAATTTTGGATAGCGCACTGTGTTACAGCATACCAAATGGTGGATGTCACGGTTGCTCAAATACGTCCATTTATATATAGAACTTATACATATTTTGCTCGATGATTGACATTGGTTTTTTCAGATTGGTATGTGTATGGGTTTTTTTAAAATTTAGTTCAAATATCTATATACTTCATGCAGTTAATTTCGCCCGATTCCCTTTCAATGGTCCTCCAAAGATGCTATGTCTGTTCTATCTAAAGGATAATGTACATGTGAGCATCTCTGGTATGTACCCTAATTTGTAAAGGGTATCATAAAGTCGGCCCGTCCGATTTTTGAGCATTCCTTGCTGTTTTTTTCAATCGAAGTGATTGTAATATGGGGTGTGTGATCAACTTCTTCACAGAAAATTTTCCATATAAATCTATGTTTTAACATAGCCCGCCATTTTCGGTATGTTTAAGGTCCTAGCCAAATTTTTCAACCTGTGTGTCTGTAGTTTGGCATTTCATTCTCTCCTGGCAGCACTTTAACATGGCATGACATAGCACACATTGATAGATAGATTTTTTGTATTTTGGAATATCAAATTCATGGTGGAGGCTATGAAAATATCGATCCGATTTTATAAATTTTTTTTTTGATAAAACCAAATTTTTACAACGCTGTGTAATAATTGCCTTGTGTGAATTTTGTCGTTTTGCTGCGTTGTAAGAGTATTTCAAAAACTGTTGCATACTTTTAGGCGATGCAAAATAGGGCTTACCTACCCATTGGTAAATATTGAACAACAAATAATTTATGTCTTATATTTCTTTGTTTTAATTCTAAATGTTATTTAATTAATTTATTATTATGTTGTTGTAATTATATTTTCGTCAACAAGAACACAAAAACAACAAAAAATCGACATAGATTTTAATTCTTAACACCAAAAAAATGCTAAACAAAAGATAGAAGAAAAAATACAAACTCCATTGCAAAGCATTTGCAAAAAAAAACTACAAACCGGAAAAGAAATCTCTATAAATATTTAAAAACAAATATATAAATATGTTAATGTTTAATCTAAAAAAAAAAACTAAAAAAAATCTACATACAACATTTTAGGAAAATGATACAAAACTAAAAGTAGAATGGCAATTGAAGGGTTATAATGAACTGTAAAGACATATTTAAAAGGGATATAATGGAAAAAAATCCGACAAAGATCCATTACCACTCGGCTCATGTTACCCTTTTTGCCCTTCTACCTTAATATTATTCAAACCCAAGACACAACTACACTCAAAAAAATTTGCTTAGAACAAAAAGAAGTAAAAACAAAAACAAACCAAAGAACAAAACATTTTATTAACCAAAAAAAAAAAACACATTAAGATTAGAAATATGTCTATACATAAAAAAAAAATACACACTATGTGACATTGTATTTTAATTGTAATAACTACAACAAACAAAAAATTTTAAAATGTGTACCGAATTTTCTTCATAGAATTTTTTTCTCTCATTAAAAGTCCAAAAAACCAAAAACCTACAAAATTTTTCTTCGGTTTCTTTGAAAACGGAAATAAATACTAACAAAAAAACAAGAACAACAAAACAAAAACACAAAGAATAAAGTTCATAACAAAATTTAATGTTCATTGCGTATTAATTCAAATTAATTACGAAAAAATATATATTTATTAACAAATGAAACAAAAAAAACATCCATTAAAAATAAAAAAACAAACCAACATAATTACAATTAATTAAATTACGTATTGATTGTCATTTTAATTACAAAACAAAAAAAATCCAAAAGAAATTGAAACCAAACAAAAAAAAAATTATTTAAATTAATTGAGAACTATAGATAAATAAAATTAACAAAAAAAAATCTATTATACATTTTTTGAATTTTGTTTTATTCAAAGGAGGCCATACAAATACTATCGAAGGGACTAACCAAAGGCGTGGATTTATTAAAAAAATATATATTTTTTCTGAGGGACTATCTATCCGTGGATTTCACAGAAAACTCCATATGTCAGAAAAACTAAACAATCCACACATTAATATCGACCATAAACTGAATTTGAATACAAACAAAGCTTCCTGCATATCCCCTATCCTACACAATGATTCCAAATTCAAATTTCAGGATTTCAACTCTATTAGGTTAGGTTAGGTTTGGGGATGTCCAGTCACATGTGTGACTACAACACTCTGAGACCGGTTAGGTCCGTTGTGATCATCCACAAGAAGAGATACAGCGAAGAGAAGAGATCAAAGACAGATCTGTAGGGGAGAGAAGATTAGTAAATTAAAGGAGTGAAGAATGAATGAAGGTCGATGGCCCTATGATTCAGACAGAAAAAGCGTTACGTGCCAAGGTTGATCCAATTTTTTGTGATACAAATTTTGTTGTCGTTCTAAATATTAGCACAGCTGCTTGTTGTAATTTATTTCTTCCAACAGAGGAATATGAAAATATCTGCCAATAAATCAAAAGCAACACTGTTCAGAGAGAAGGAGAGAAGATTAGTAAATTAAAGGAGTGACGAATGAATGAAGGTCGATAGCCCTATGAGTCAGACAGAAAAAGCGTTACGTGCCAAGGTTGAGCAGGTTCGGTTGTTGAGAAGAAGCTGAGATTCTGTGTCGCTTGTGAGCCAGGGCTGGGGAATGACACAGGAGATGCTCAGTTGTCTCCGTCTCCTCCTCGTCAACACAAAGTCTACAGTAATCAGTTGCATCCAAATCCCATTTACTAGTAAAAGCCCTGATGTTGCAGTGACCAGTAATGACTCCTGTCATCACTCTAATTTCAGCTTTGCTCAGGTTCAATAGTGAGTGCGTTCTTTTGGTGGACAGAGTCGGCCAAATTGATCTTGACACGTTGCACCTAGGTTCGTTGTGCCAAAGTTTGCAGGCTGTTTCGTCAAAGAATGCCTCAAAGTTCCTATAGAAAAGACATATGGGTGGTTTGATTGAGTCATCAGTTTCAAGATCGGTGGATTGAGACCCTCGTCCAGCTAGTTCGTCCGCTCTTTCATTATCCAAGATGTCACAATGTCCTGGTACCCAACACAACCGATAGCAATGGTTAAGTTCTTCCAGAGCTGCTCTACACTTGAGGACGGCTTCGGATTTGATGTGACAAGATTTGATGGCTTTAAGAGCCGCTTGATTATCCACAAAGATAGTCACCAGTTCAACGACCTCAGCATCCAGATTTTTTATCAATTCCGCTGCCTTTCAGATCGCGAAGATTTCAGCTTGGAAAACACTACAGTTACTATCCAGCTTGTTGGTCAACTCAAGGCCTAACCTTTCACAGTAGACGCCTGCCCCAGTACCTTCTTCCATCTTGGATCCGTCTGTATAGAGGGCCAGACCGTCCAGAGGAGGGTTACTTCGTTTCCAGTCGTCTCTACTAGGAATAACGACATCTACATCTACGTCAAATCTAAGGATTGGTGATATATAGTCGCTTAGTTTAGCGCGTTGGTCCAATGCTATACCTGGTTCATTAAGAACACTACTATGCCCAAAGGTACAGTTCCGCCAGAGTTTTTGTTCATGCAGTCTTATGGCGCTACGCGCAGCCTGACACTTAATGCTGAGGCCCAAAAGCTTGAAGTACAGCATTGCGTTCAGAGCTGCTTGTGGCGTACTCCTTCTGGCTCCTGTAACTAAATCGCTCCTGTAACTAAAATCGTACCTTGTCTAATTTATTAGATGTCGACTTGACAGTTCCACCAAACAAGAGAGCCATAGGACAAGATGGGCTTCACCACAGTGTTATACAACCAATGTATAGTCTATGGTTTTAGCCCACAGCTTTTCCCAATGGAGTTCTTGCATGAATAGATTGAAATCATTCCTCTCTTCGCCAGCTCCTCAACGTTCCTTTTCCATCGTAGTTGACAGTCCAGGATTGTGCCGAGGTACTTTGCTTCGGGAGATAGGTGAAGTTGCACTCCATCCAATGTTGGTGGAACAAAGACGCCGAGCTTACGCTTCCTAGTAAACATTACCAGTTCCGTTTTCGTTGGATTTACACTAACACCATTTGCCCTGGCCCAGCGTGACAGCGTCAGTAAGGCTCTTTGCCGGAGATCAATATCACCACGGAGATCAATATCACCACGTCGTCCGCGTAAGCTACAACTTTGATACCTTTCCCGTCCAATTCCCTCAATATGATATTAATTACCAATTTCAACTCTATTGGTTCACCCACAATTCAAATTGTACCAAATTTAGTACACAGCAGTACGAATTTCCAAAACTTCCTACATACTCCAATCCTACACCTCCACACTGATCCTAAATCCAAGTTTCAGGATTTCAACTCTATTGGTTAAACCACAATTCAAATTGTACCAAATATAGTACACAGTAGTACGAATTTCCAATACATCCTACATACCCCGATCCTATACCTCCACAGTGTTCCTAAATCAAAATTTGAGGATTCCAACTCTATCGGTTCACCTACAAATCAAATCGTACTAAATTTAGTATACTTAGTATAAATTTCTAAAACTTTTACATATCTCAATCTGACACCTCAACAGTGATCCTGATTCCAAATTTCATGATTCTAGATCTATTGGTTCACTTAAAATTCAAATTGTACCAAATCTAGTGATATTTAGTACCCATACGTAATAATTTCTTAAACTGAAAACTGACCCCAATCCCACACCCCTACAGTGATCCTTACTTCAAATTTGAATGTTCCCGCTCTATCGGTTCACCCAAATCCAAACTGCACCGATTATAGTACTTTTTGTACACATAAATAAAAAAATTCCAAAACTATGTTCATATCCCAATCCTACACTCCGACGGTAATTTTAATTTCAAATTCCAGGATTCCAGCTCGATTTGTATCTCCAAATTAAATTTGTACCAAATATAGTATCATATAGTACTTTGCGTACACATCAGTACACGCTTTAAAAACAATCTCCTTTAATAGATCCTACATCTGAACCCTTATTCGCATTCCAAAATTCAAGTTTTTTGGCTCTATCCATTCACATGCTACGAAATTGTAGTAAATTTAGTACATTTTAGTACTTTTCGCATACTTATAGTTCGAATGTCCAAAAAACCCTTTACTATGTCTATTCTACACTCCATCCGTGACCCTCATTTAAAATTTAAGAGTTCGCCAAATACAAATGGTATCACATTTAGTACTTTTGAGTATTTTTCGTACCGTTCTAGTTCGAATTTTCGAAAAAACCCTGCATTATCTGTCACCTTTGGATCAAGATTTTGGCTTCAGCCGTTTCGTCTGGGCGTTGATGAATCGTTAAATCAGTCAGTCAATCACTTTACTATTTCATTAGTATAGATATTTACTGAGGGACTATCCAATCGTGGTTTAAATAAAAAAAATATTTTCTGATGGACTATCCAAAAAAATATTTTCTGAGGGTCTGATTTTTATTTGTTTTTTGGAAATTGTGGCGTATGACATCTGACACTACTCATACGCCTAATGGCCAGTTTTTAATTGTGGCGTATGACATCTGACACTACTCATACGCCTAATGGCCAGTCATTAATTTATTTAATTCTCTAAAAGGTAATATGGTGGCGTATGACGTCTGACACTACTCATACGCATAATGGTCATTAGTTCCCTGAAAAGTAAAGACCGAAAAAAATATTTTATTTTTGCTCACAATTAACATTTATTAATTTTCAAAACACAAAAAAACTTTGTATATTTCGACAACAAATTCCATTAGGTATATTTGTATGTATGTAGGTAGGTACATGTAGGTATATGCGTGTACAGATATTTCCAATTGATTATCTACATGAGATAAATTCGTTATATAAATATGATAATCCATCTATAGTTTTTTTTTAATCAGCTAACCAAAAGAAATGACGAACTTCTTCCTCATTCGATGGCCGGCAATGGGGTGGAGTTTTATCCGGTGCCCCAGCAGATGTCAAGGACATACGCAAATCACGCATAGCTTTCATGTTGCGTTCGGTTGCCAAAGACAAATCGATCATGGGACTGGGATAATGGACACCAATTAGGCATTCGGATTTTTCTTGTTCCTCCAATCCCATGCGCCAGGGTTCGTGACTAGGAGGGAAGAGGAAATATGGAAGATGAAAATATTGTTAGGGATTTTGAATTTCATACTCACATAAACAGCTGTGGAACTTTGGACAATTCGGGTACATATTGCTTGATATATGTACCCAAAGGATCTAGACGTTTAGCCAGGGCCACGGGGCAGGTGACCAACGAAGAATCGAGTAGGCGTTCAAATGCCGATGAACTAACCCACATCCAGTTACCGGCACACACTGACCAATCAGCATCGAGGAGATGCTTCAGGAAATACCTTAAACCATGTTCCCAATTTTGCCATAGGCCACCACGAGTCAGAAATGTGGCTACAGTGTTACGTAGTGTGTGATGTAGCCACCCTTCTGCCAACAACTGACGCATTGCCGCATCAATTAAGGGAAATCCCGTCTGACCCTCTGTCCAACGTTTTAATTGTTCAATATTGGTGGGTGCCCATGGTATGGTCAGGCAAATGGCATTACCCTCCATCCGATCATAATAAGGATTATTCACCGACATTGTATAGAAATATTCGCGCCAAATAAGTTGCCCGGTGATATGTGCCCCACCAAACATTTGCATACCAAAACCCTCAGCCTGCAACTGGACCGTGCGAAACAGATCATGGACATCCCAATAGAATTTCCTTACCGATAGGCAACCGAAACGCAAATGGGCACTCATCGATTTGGGAGATTCGAGTATGTTCGGACTGGCTTGATTGGGTAGATAACGGCCACAGCGAAAAGCATTTTCTTCGACATTCAGACGTTCCCGTAAATGCAGTAGAGCTTGGGTTTCACCACCTATCCATTTGGTTTTGGCCAGGTAGCTAAGTTTTTCAGGGAAAATGTTAAATTGTTCGGGTGTTGGGAACTGTAGGGAATTTTTTTAAATTATTTAGAAATATATGAGTGACCTCCTTAGCCAGATTTCTACTTACCTCTAAGAATCCTCTAAATTCCTTAATGAGATCTTCATCAATTTGTATGAATTCGACATTTGTCCAGTCAGGATCATCAGCTGGTCTTGGCGGGAGGCCTATAACCTGAACGGTGTGCTAAAAGTAAAAGTAAAGTAAAAAGTAAATTAAATTAAACGTGTACCTGGGCTCCAGATTCGAATATTTCGAGTTTACTATAAAAAGGTATGAATTTAAATTTTTTTTTAAATACTATAAGGAGGTATGGGGTTTTTTAAAAATATCCTTTTTAAAGTACTATTTGGAGGCATGTATGTTTAAAAATATCTTTTGAAGAACTATAAGGAGACATACACCTATAAGAACTATAATAACTAAAAAATGGGTTGAGGCGTTGGGTTAGTTGCCCACACTCGGAAAACCCCTCCCACTATGAAAAAGGAAAGAAAAATAAAACCAAACCCCCCTAATGTTGACGACCCGCGCAATCGTATAAAGGAGCACGATCTGCGAATCTGCACTTGGAATGTGCGCACGTTGTAGTTCTCGCTTTGGCGGATGTACTCAAGAAGTACAAAGCCGATATTCTTGCCTTACAGGAAATGCGATGGAAAGGGACAGGCGTAAGTAAATCAGACGATTACGCCCTGTATTATAGCTGCCATGAAACGAGACATGAATTTGGCTGCGGATTTATGGCTAACAGGAGAATTAACCAGTAAGGAAAGTAAAGTCGGACTGGGCCGACTATATGATACCCTTCACCACTTTGGGTATATATCTATATCTGAACCGATTTCAGGGAAAATTGCCAAAGACTAATTTATATTACTTCAGTACATAGTGTCAATCGGCCTAGCTATGGATCTTTTCAAAAATTCGTACAAATGAAAAGATTTCCAGGGACTTTTGTGCACCATTTACCTAATATCGGGCGAAACTATATATGGGAGCTATATCTAAATCTGAACCGATTTTCGCGAAACTTTGCACACATCATTCTAGACTTAATGCAGTACGTTATGCCAAAATTCTTGCAAATCAAAAGATTTCCAAGGACTTTAGTAGACTATTTACCTAAAATCGAGCGAATCTAAATCTGAACCGATTTTCTCGAAACTTGGCAGATATCACTTTAGTGGACTATTTACCTAAAATCGAGCGAATCTAAATCTGAACCGATTTTCTCGAAACTTTGTAGACATCACTCAATTCAGTACGTAATGCCAAATTTCGTGCAAATCGAGGGATTTATAGGGACTTTGGTGCACCATTTTCATGAAATCGGACGAAACTATATATGGGAGCTATATCTAAATCTGGACCGATTTTCTCGAAACTTGGCAGATATCACTCTCGGCTCAATTCAATACGTTATGCCAAATTTGGTGCAAATCGTAAGATATATAGGGACCTTTGTGCACCATTTACCTAAAATCGGACGAAACTATATATGGGAGCTATATCTAAATCTCAACCGATTTTTTCCAATTTCAATAGGGTTCGTCCTTGGGCCAAACAAATGAGCTGTGTCAAATTTCATCCAATTCGGATCATAAATGCGACCTGTACTTTGTTCACAAAAATACATGTACGGACGGACAGACGAACATGCGTAAATCGACTCAGAAAGTGATTCTATGCATATTCTCAAAAGGAACCATGGGTCTATCTCGATTATTTTTGCCTGTTACAAACATATGCCCAAAGACATAATACCCTGTACCACAGTGTGGTGAAGGGTATAAAAACGATTCACTCGAGTAGATGATAATCCGTATAAAATCGAAGTTCTTTTACATCAGTCTCATTTGTACCCTCCTGTAAAGATGAAGAAGGAAACCTAGTGACAAATACAGACAGCGTGTTGAGGATCTGGAAGGAGCATTTTTAAAAGCTTCTGGTATCAAATAGTGGCGGTGAAGAGGATACCCCAGAACCAATAAGAGATGATGGTGTAGAGTGTATACCACCTAGCCAAGATGACGTCATAAAAGCAATTAATCGGCTCAAGAACAATAAAGCAAGAGGAGCCGCCGATGGGTTACCAGCCGAACTATTCAAGACTGGTGGTCAGATGCTGGTCAGGAGCATACACCAGCTGATTAGTACAATTTTGCTATAGGAATGCATGCCCAGTGATTGGAACCTCAGCATCCTGTGTCTCGTGCACAAAAAAGGAGACAAGACGCATATAAAGTGTTATCCAGCGTGTTGTGTGAACGACTGAAGCCAACGGTCAATGACATTATTGGATCATACCAAGGCGGCTTCAGACCTGGCAAATCCACCATTGACCAGATTTTCACTATGCGCCAAATCCTGGAAACGAGTTTTCAGCCAAGGTGATATTTTGTCTTGTGATTGTTTTAACATCCTGCTGGAAAAGGTCATAAGAGACGCAAAGGTGAACAGAAATGGCACTCTGTACACCAAAAAGCATATGTTACTTGGGTACGCCGATGACATCGATATAATGGGTCGAACATTGCGAGCGGTAACAGCCACATTTGATCTGAAGCATGGATACTTGCCATGCAGATGAGGCAGATCTTGAAGTGTTTGAAAGAAAATTTCTCTGAAAGATCTACGGGCCGATCTGCGTCGACGGTGTATATCGGCGTCGAATGAACCACGAGCTTTACAATTTATACACGGACATTGACATAGTCAGTCGTATTGAGCTGCAGCGACTATGGTGGCTAGGTGGCCATGTTGTGCGAATGAATGAAAATGCGCCAGCTCAAAAGGCATATAAAAGTGAGCCTACTGATGGTTCCCGTTGAAGGGGAAGGCCACGAATTAGATGGACCAAGTAGAAAACAACATCTTGGAACGTGGTCTTTCAAATTGGCGGATATGCGTACAAGACCGACGTGCTTGGAAATCTTTTTAGAGCGGCTTATGAAACAATCGTTCTGTAACAAGCCAGCTAAGTAAGTAAGTATATGGCATTTTTTAAAAAATATATATTTTGAAGAACTATTATGAGGTGTGGATTTTTAAAAAATATTTTCGAAGGGACTATCACTAGGCGAGGATTTATTAAAAATATTTTCTAGAGAAATGTCGCAGAGCACGCAGGGACTTTTTTAAATTTGTAAGAGATGAAATAAGTTGTTGGAAATGGTAGCGTATGATGTCTGACACTACTTATACGCCTAATGGTCTGGCTATAATTTATTTAATTCTCTTAAAGGCAACATGGTGGCGTATGATATTTGGCACAACTCATATGCCATGGTCGTTTATTTTCTGAAAAGTAAAATTATTTTTTTGAAGACCTATGGATTTTTTTAATATTTTTGGAGAATTAGGAATCGTAAATTGTTTAAAAATATTTTTTGAATGAAAAGGTGTGGATATTTTAATTTTTTTTTTTGAAGAACTCTTAGGACGCTGGGATTTCATTAAAATTATTTTTAAGAATATTAGGAGGCGTATTAAGAAAATGACAATCTATTCTTCCCATAACTTACCAAAAACATTTGATATGTCAACGGTGGAATACCGCCATTGGTATCAATGACTGTCTGAGGATCCCACAAGGTGTGGGATATTTTCTCCACTGCCTCGATACCCAATTCATGGCACAGAGTCTTTACCGAGTTATCTCTTTCATTCCAAATAGGTTCACAATCCTGTTCGAAACACAGCTTATGGATACCAAATTGTTCATGAAGACTTCGAAATATTTGTACAGGATTTCCTTGGAAGAGATAGAGGCGGCCACCATTACCGCCACTTATGGCACGAAATTGATCATCGAGATCTTTGAGGGAATCCAAAAGGAATTTAAAACGATTATAGCCGACACATTTGGTACCTGGAAAAGAAAAAAAAATATTTTCTGAGAAAAATATTCTCTATAAGGCATGTATTTTTTAAATATTTTCTTTATGAATTCTAATTAGGCGAGGAAACGTGGATTTTTTTAAGGGGACCCCCCATTCTCGGGGTCAAAAAATTTTTTGATTTAATTCGATTCTACTCTAATTCAAGAATGTCCCTACAAAATTTCAAGTGAAAATCTCAAGAACTCTTGAAAATATAGCCGATTTATTGTGTCAGCATCAAGTGACGGCTAAAGGGCTTCTCAAACTTTAAACGCGTTTTTCTCTTTTGCGAATGGCGGGCACGATAACTCAAAAACTAATAATCCAATCGATTCCAAATTTGTACACGTTTCTCTATGAGTGTATAGATATCGTATGAACTAGGATAAAGCCAATCGGTGAAGATCTTCCTTATTTTTTAACTTGGTTTTTGGTCAAAAATCGGCGATTTTCAAAAAATATTTTTTCAAAGGTCCGCCATTTTGTTAATTTTAGAGTGAAGTCAATAATCCTAGTTCACACGAGAGCCAGACATGTACTCTTTCTAACACCGTTGGAATTTTCGGATTCCGATGTTGCAGTGAGGAGTTATCATGCCCGCCATCAAAAATAAGGACTTTTCTTTAATTACAAAAAACAACAACAAAACAATAACAAACATTTTTTGTAAATTATTTTTCTTCTCTTTTAAATCTTCAATTATATATGTGCAAAGTTACAAACCTTAACAAGCATTGGTATTGATTTACCAGCCCATTGAAAATCTTGAAAAATGGAAATCGAGAATGGGTGGGGTTCCCTTAAATATTTTCTGTGGAACTATCATCAGGCACGGATATTTTCACAATATTTTCTGAGCGAATATCAATAAACGTGAATTTTTGGAAAATATTCCTGCATAACAGAGGTGCAAGTCTTCGGATGAAAAAAATGCCTAATTGGTGTCTATGATCGATTTATCTTTGGTCACCGAACGTAACATGAAAGCTATGAGTAATTTGCGTATGTTCTTGACTTCTGCCGGGGCACCGGATCAAAATTTCATCCCATCGTCATTTATTTTGGTTATATATATATATATATATATATATATATATTTGTATTTTATTCCATGGATTACCTTAATTATATTTCGAATTTATCTTATGTAGATTGGGAATATCGAAAGTGAATTCAGAAAACTAAATAAAGCAAAATATCTTCCATTAGGCGTATGAGTTGTGTCAGATATCATACGTCACCAGGTTCCTGAAATAATTTCATCTGTTAAATATTGTATTAGAACATTCATGTTTAACTCTCGGATAGTGCTCTTGATCACAATTTTTGATAGTCCATTAATTATACCCTTCCCCACACTGTAGTATAGGGTATTATGTCTTTGTGCATATGTTTGTAACAGGCAAAAGGGAAACGATGTAGACACTTGGTTCCTTTTGAGAATATGCATAGAATCCCTTTCTGAGTCCATTTATACTTGTCCGTCCCTCCGTCCGTCCGTCTGTTGGTGTTAAATTGTAAACAAAGTACATGTGGCATTTATAATCCGATTTGGGTGAAATATAGTACAGCTTATTTGTTTGGCCAAAGGACGAACCCTATTGAAACTGGAAAAAATCGGTTCAGATTTAGATATAGCTCCCATATATATTTTCGTCCGATTTAAGGTAAATGGTGCACCAAAGTACCTATATATCATTCGATTTGCACGACATTTGGCATAGCGTACTGAATTAAGTATAGAATGATCTGTGTTAAGTCTCGCAAAAAACGGTTGAGATTTAGATATGGCTCCCATATATAGAATCGTCCGATTTTATGTAAATGGTGCACCAAAGTACCTATATATCTTTCGATTTGCTCAAAATTTGGCATAGCGTACTAAATTAAGTCTAGAAAGATGTGTGCTAAATGTCATGAAAATCGATTCAGATTTATATAGTTTCGTCCGATTTTATGTAAATGGTGCATTAAAGTCCCTATATATCTTTCGATTTGCTCAAAATTTTGAATAGCGTACTAAATTGCGCAAGGAGTAATGTGTGCCAAGTTTCGTAAAAATCGGTTCAGATTTAGATATAGCTGCCCTGTAGTTTCGTCCGATTTTATAGAAATGGTGCATTAAAGTCCCTATATATATTTCGATTTGCACGAAATTTTGAATAGCGTACTAAATTGCGCAAGGAGTAATGTGTGCCAAGTTTCGTAAAAATCGGTTCAGATTCAGATATAGCTTCGATATATAGTTTCGTCCGATTTTATATAGATGGAGTACCAAACTTCCAATATTATTCAGATTGAGACAAACTTTTACAAAGCGTACTAGATTAGGTCCATATTGATGTACGTGAAGTTTTGAAGAAATCGGTTCAGTTTTAGATATATTTCTCCCATATATAGTTTATCCGATTATATGCAAGTTTTGTGAAAATCGGTTTAGATTAGGATATAGTTCCCCCATACCGATTTTTGGTAAATGGTGCAACAAACTCCCAAGGATTGTCCAATTAATACAAAATTTGGCACAGCGTATTGAGATAGGTTCATATTAATTTATACGACGTTTTGTGATTTAGAGACGGTTCAGATATAGAGAGAGCTCCCATATACATTTTCGTCCGATTTTTGGTTAATGGTGCACCGAGGAGCCTACGTCTGTTCCATATACACGAGATAAAATTGTGGACAGCGCTCTGTACTGCAGCATACCAAACGGACTACCCACGCCTGTGGATAGTCCTTGGTAAAATATTTTTTACAAATTCACGCCTGTGAATGGTCCCTCAGAAAATATTTTTAATAAATTCAAGCCTATTGGTAGTCCCTAATTTATATTCTAAAAAATCCAAGCTTGTTGATAGAAAATATGTTTGAAAAATTCAATATTAAACGGCATATATATTAGAACATTTTACCGGGTTAACCTACTTTATGAGGAGTTATTTGACACATATGCAAAGGAATTGACAATTGAAACCCACTGGGTTAACGAAATCCGGTTAAATGTAAACGTACTGTTATGTCTTTAAAATTATTTTCAAAAGGTTTTGGAACATTGTAAAATATGTTACGGCAACGAATAAAAAACTACTTTTTTAGTTAGCCATTCAAAAAGCGTTTTAAATTATTCTCACTACATTGACAACACTGGCAATTGTCATAGCTTCTCAATTTCAAACACCTACCCGCACTTTCGCCATCAAAGATGAAGACCGGCAGCAATTTAATGCCTCTGCTTTTATCCGAAATTGCTTCTAGTAGAGCGGGATTATCGTGCAAACGTAGGCCATGGCGGAACCAATGGATATTCACCGACATTCCAAAATGGACCCGCAAATTCAATGAATCAAGAAATGAATAATAAAAAATGTTTAATTAAGACGTATTTGTTGTTGTTGCTCTTTAAAATTATTGGCTGATTTAGTTTCCACTTGCAAATAGTTTGAATTTGTTTTGAAAAGAAAATTGAAAACAAAAACACTAGAAGTTTTTTCTCGATTAGAACTTGAGACGATTTGCCGTAGTTGTCCGACTGGCCGCAATAACCGACGATTGGCAAATGTACTCTCAGTTCGACTGGAAACGTTTGGGTAAACTATTTGCTATTGCTTGCTTGGGCTTTGTTGTTCCTAAGGGGGGGGGGGGGGGGGGGGTCTCTCAACTAAACTGCAGCAGCAACAACAACAATAACAATATCAACAATTAGTTGTAGTAATAATTGTTGTTGTTCATGGGGTTCTAAGGGGAGTGGGGGGAAGGGTTGATTTTCTGCCTTTGTTTTTGTTCGCAAAAATGCATTTAGCCGGCATCTGTCTGTATGCTTGCTGTTGAGCTTATACGTACAACCCCTTGACTCGCCACCCAGCCATCGAAGCGAGTAATTCGCCCCCTGTTGGGCAGAACAAAGCTTCTTCTTCTTTCGCATAGTTTGTTATTGTATCGAGTGGATTGTGGATAGTTTTTTGTTTTGTTTTTGGCTGCATTGTTTCGACTTTACCACTTGTTGTGAGGCGGTTAGGGTTTCAGTTGTGCGATGTTGTGTCTATTGCAGAGATTTGTTGGATATTGTATCGGGTTTTTGGTGTGTGTGGCTATTGTATCAATATGGAGACTGGTGGGTTTCTTTTTATCTTTGCATAACATTAGGTGAGAGTGTGTGTGTGTGTGTGGAAAATTTGAAGTGTCTGATAGTGGCATGTTTAATTTATTTGATATGTTTGACAGGCCTTTGACAGATGAGGAAGTATTCACAAAAGGGTTTGGGGTGTAATTCTGATTAGTTTGACGATTGATAGAAGTTTTGGGAGGAAAGGGGTGAAGAAGGTAATAATGGGGGTTTAAATAATTTCTCGGTGGAAAATAAAACAACATCAGAAATATTTTCTGAAGGACTATTAATAGGCGTGGATTTATTAAAAAATATTTTCTGAGGGACTATCAATAGGCGTGGATTTATTAAAAATACTTTCTGAGACTGACTATCAATAGGCGTGGATTTATTAAAAAATATTTTCTAGGGACAAAAATTGTGATTTGTTAAAACAAAAATTTCTAGGGGACTATCAATAGGCGTTGATTTTATTAAAATTTATTTTCTGATGGATTATCAATAGGCTTGGATTCATTAAAATATATTTTTGATGGACTATCAATAGGCGTGGATTCATTAAAAAATATTTTCTGCAATTGACTATCAATAGGCGTGGATTCATTAAAAAATATTTTTTGCAATTGACTATCAATAGGCGTGGATTCATTAAAAAATATTTTCTGAGACTGACTATTAATAGGCGTGATTTTATTAAAAAATTAGTAAGGAAAGTAGTAATGTCGGACTGAACCGACTATATGATACTCTTCACCATCCTTACAATTACATGTCAATGTTCCATCGAAGGAACCTACTCATGTCTTTCTGAAACCTGTGATAAAATTTAATTTCATTCGGGCAGTTTTAGAGTCGTCTGCGTGTCATGGGACAAATTTATGGAAAACGATTTATAGCAAAATTGATACACGCTATTCGGTACGCCGCACTGTTAAAAATTTAATTACAATCAGATACCCGTTCGAAACACATATGGAAGCTATGGCTGCATCTGAAAAATTTCGTGTTAATCGGACAAACATCGGAACAATCGCACGAATATATATGCATATGTGGGAGCTATATCGAAATCTGAATCGATTATTCCGAAATTTACCATACATTATACTAGACTCAATTCAATACGTTATGCCAAATTTCGTGCAAATCGAAGGCTATATAGGACTTTGGTCCACCATTTCAATAAAATCGGACGAAAATATATGGAGCTATATCTAGATCTGGATCGATATTCACGAAACATAAAACACATCACTCCAGACTTCTTTAAGTACGCTATGCCAAAATTTCGTGCAAATCGAAAGTTATATAGGGACTTTGGTGCACCATTTACATAAAATCGGACGAAAATATGTATGGGAGCTATATGTAAATCTGAACCGATTTTCACGAATCTTCACTTACATCATTCCAGACCTAATTCAGTACGCTATGCCAAATTTCGTGCAAATCGAAAGTTATATAGGGACATTGGTGAACCATTTACATAAAATCGGACGAAAATATATATGGAAGCTATATTTAAATCTGAACCGATTTTCCAGAAACTCAACACTCATCATTCTAGACTCCATTTCGGAACGCTATGCCAAAATTTCGTACAAATCGAAGGATATATAGGGACTTTGGTGCACTATTTAACTAAAATCAGACGAAAATATATTGGAGCTATAACTATACCTGAACCGATGTTCACGAAACTTAACACACATCATTCTGTATTTAATTCAGAACGCTTTGCTAAATTTCGTGCAAATCGAAACACATATTGGGACTTTGGTCATTAAAACTGTCGAACATATATATGGGAGCTATATCTAAATCTGAATCGATTTTCACGAACACTTAATTCAGAACGCTATGCTGAATTTCGTGCAAATCGAAACATATATAGGGTCTTTGGTGCACCATTTACATTAAAACGGTCGAACATATATATGGGAGCTACATCTAAATCTGAACCGATTTTCACGAAATTTAACGCACATCGTTCCAGACTTAATTCAGTACGCTATGCCAAATTTCGTGCAAATCGAAGGATATATAGGGACTTTGGTGCACTATTTACATAAAATCGGACGAAAATATATATGGGAGCTATATCTAAATTTGAACCAATTTTCACGAATCTTCACTTACATCATTCTAGACCTAATTCAGTACGCTATGCCAAATTTCGTGCAAATCAAAGGATATATAGGGACTTTGGTGCACTGTTTATCAAAAAACCGGACGAAAAAATGTATGGGGTTATATCTAAATCTGAACCGATTTTCACGAAATTTAACATATATATATATATAAATATGGGATCTATATCTAAATCTGGTGAAGGATATAAATATTTGGATGTATTCAAAAATAGTTTCTAGGGGCCTATCAATGAGCGTGGATTTATTCAAAAATATATTTTGAGGGCCTATCAATGTGCGTGGATTTTTATACCCTACACAACTATGTTGTAAGGTTTTATAGCTTTGTGCAGCCCTAAGAGTTTGTCGTTTAATTCAATTTTCAAAGTGTTTAATTGGGCCAAAATTGTGTCTCTATCGATTACTACTATCCCACTGATCTAATATATCGATTCTATTCTGATTGATATGATCTAGTTGAACAGCTGTGAGCTGTCAAACACAACATATGTTTCAGCCTATGTATAACTAAGCTTCAACACGTGTTTTCTTTGCATTGACAAATTTTCTCTAAAGTAGCATTTGTCTCAATTAAGTGAATGAAAAGTTGATTTATTTATTGTTAGAGGTATGCATTAACTAAAAAAAATTTTGTTTGTGACCTGTGCCTAATAGTTGTAGAAAAAATATAGTTCAAGTGTACTATACCACTCATCTGCTTGAAAAAATCCAAAGTAAGACTTCCGTAGACCGGAACTTCCGATATTCGTGTGTATTCGCGCTAAAATATGGTTTTTTAAATTACTATATCGATTTGTGATTGTAAAATGTCCAAATGATCTGCAGCCACCTGCAACTTTACATGATATTGCATTTTTTAGGAAAAATGTCGTTGCTCAGACGAGAAGTTTATTTACTATGGCGCAACGAGCCTGTGCGTACTAAAATAAATTCTGTCATTGAAACTCATATATTTAATAATATTATTAATATCAACATGTGCGATGCTAATAAAGTTCTTCTAATAAGCAAAAAATAGAAAATTTGTAGAAAATTTGAGAAATGGAAATTCGACCATAGAAGCCGTTACAAATTTGAAGAAAACAACAAGGAATGGTTAGACGGATAACTTTTATTAGTTAATCCACTGACTAATCGTGGAACACCCTATAAGAAGTTTGACGAATGTTACAACAAAACGAAACTTAAATGTTATCCAAATGGAGTCCAATTTACGAACTATTCAGCTCAAGTGCCTTTACAAGATATGGTAGATCATATTGTTACGCGCCTCGAAGAAGCTCATTTTTCTATCAGAATTTAATGTTGCTGAACGGAGTGAGCAGAATCTCATTTCTTGCGGGCTCAAAATCGATATTGAGTCTTTTATGGAATATGCTTTACAGAACGCAGAACTTTTTATCATACTTTATCCTTGGTTTTATATGCCGTGTTCCATACATAAAATCTTAATACATGGAGCCGATATAATTAAAGTATCACCACTTCAATTAGGAAAAATGAAATGGAAGCTCGGCGAAGATTACCGCAATTTCCGTGAGCATCATATGCGAAAGGCATCCCGATTAAATACAATGAAATACTTAATGCATGCGCTTTTGTGTTAATCAGATCCCTTGATTTCAAATTTACGCAAACCACAAGGCAACCAAAAAAAAAGAAAGATTACAACTTTTGTCAGAACATTGTGTATCCAAATCGGAATAAGAAACTATTATTACAATAGTAATAATAGTTTCTTATTTCGATTTGTATTTTTCCTTTTTTTGATTTATAATTAATTAAATTTTTGTTATTAATTAAATTTTTGTTATGAAATATATATATATATATATATAAATACATTAAAATTTTTTTTGTTTTGCTTAACTCTGTAGCTTAATCTATTTTCAACTAAAAAAAAATAATACAAAAAATAAAATACAAAATCACTAAGCGCTATTAATTAAACACCGCTAGATGAGCCTTTTCGCCCACTGTGTAACGCCGCGAAATATTGGTCCTAGATCTACCTTTAAGAATACCGATCGTCATATCTCGACTAGATGAGTCGATCTAGACAT